GTAAAGACTAAACATCACCTACTAAATAACCCTTATTACAGCTGGATTTGCAGCTGTCAAAGACTTTGGCATCTGAAGCAATGCACGGTGGAAGTTCAGTGGAAGCCTGGTACTCTACAGATTCAACAGCTTGTCCTACACCAAGCAGATGCTGCAGCTGGCAAGAGCTCTGAAAGTTGTTTTGGAGTCTCCCTACATCTTCAAGTTCCTAACACTGAGTTACTGTTTGGGAAGGAGGCTTGAACCACAATGTCAGACTCCTCTCAAAGCTGCAGAGATGTAGTTCTGAACAACATGAAAAGCAGAGTGGCCAATGCATGCTGGTTCTCGTCTGGGCATCCAGCGTTACCAAGTCTGTACTCCACTGTTCTTTAGTGGAAAAAAGATAAGCATCACTGGAAAGGGAAGTCAGAGTCTGGACAGAGTCCTCAAAGAGCTCCTGTCACTCTACTTTCTCCTTGTCTGAGTTTGCTTGAACTGTTAAGTTTTCTTAATCAAGAGAACTTATAAGAGCCCTTGCAGGGCATCAGGTGGGTTTTAATGATATCTACAGACTGGATGCTGAAAGAGAAGGAGGTCTAAGCCGCCAAAACCAGCACAAAATTCATCACAAAGGATGTCCTTTGTGTCCATGTCCCCCTGGACAATATTCCTTTCCTAAGGAGAAACAATCTATTTACTATTGGGCTTCCACAACCCCAATCTCTCCGCAGAGCTCCAAAGCCATCCTCGTATCAGGATTAACTGTCAAAACCTACAGCTCTTCCCACGGTCCCAGTTCCCACTCCAGCTCCTTGCCAACTCATACACCTGTCTTTCTGCAGCACCACCCTGAACCCCACTACTCGGGGATCTCCACCAACAGCAAGCCACTCCACAGCACCACCAGCCCTGCCTCATCCCTCCCACATAAAGTGAAACTCTGTGGGCACAGGGGAAAACTCTTCCCCTCCAAGGGACTCAAACCACCTCATGAACACCAGCTGGGCCTCCCAGCATCTCCACATTAGAGTATGACCACGAGTCCCATGCTATTAGTGAAGAAACCAGGAAACCTCTGTAATTAAGCATCTTGAAGGCCAACCAAAAACTGAAAACAGGAATCAAAATCCAGTCTCCCATCTCCCCTTTATCCTCACACTCCTACCTCCTAACCACCAGGGAGAAGTGCTGTACTACTGAAGCATCCTGACACGAGGTACAAACCAGCAAGATAAATGAGAGGATTCAATTATTCACTATCGGAACACTTCCAGTTTGGCAACTGGTTAGCAGCCAGAATGAACAAACCCCAACAAGCCACAGAACAGAATGTATTCATTACACTGATAATATAATTAAGAATAATTCAAGTTATTTAAATTCTTTCAGATTGCCTTTTAGTGCTCCACAACAGTCCATCACAGCAGCTGATATAAGTGTAGGGAGAAGAGGCCACAATCCAGCACTCTTAATAAAAATCCTTCAATTTATTCTTCACTTTCAAAAGATGATGATCAAGGAAGCATCTAGTTTTTCATTTTTAGCTTTGACAACAAATTGCTATTCCTAAGAAATTCAGTTCTTTCCAACTGCCTGAAGCATAGAAAGTATTCTTTCTTTGAGCCAGTCACATTATATCTTCTCATTAATGTTGCAGTAACTGTCACAATAGAACCAGTATCCCACAGACAAAACAACAGCACTTAAGTTACGTTGTCTGGCTCAGAAGTAAGGAAATGAAGGCACCAGAAGGGAATATTCTTGCAAGAAAATCTTGCTTTGGCCATAACCTTTGCAGAAATGCTCTATCATCTGTTTTGATAGTGTAGTTATCTTGAAGCAGCAATTATCTTAGCACTACCTCAGGGATTTTTCTTTGTTGGGAATACCTCTCTATGCCAGTACAACAATCTCTCCCATGTTGCCACTTGGGAGTACTTCCTTATACTCCTAGCAGTTCAGCGTGTTCCATTTCAGACCAGCCCTGCATGCCAGAACCCCTGAACCAGCATCTTGGGCCACTTCACACTGATCCTCACGAAGAGCCCTCCTCTCTCTCAGTGGGTATAACCCACTGGGCAGATAAACCAAGGCACTGATTTTCAGGCATTAACTAAAGGTCACCAAAACCAGCTGCACTTTCAACCTTTCATTAGCCCCCCCTTTACATGAATAAAAATGCCTTACTTTTTGTGTCTGAAACAATCAGTTTTGGTTACATCTTTTGAAATAATTTTTTTACTAATTGGTAATGTCCATTTCACAGCTTAAACTGAATCAGAAGGACTGACCCAGCATATGCTGAAGGCCAGGTCTTACCATCCCTAAGAGCTCGCTGTTGGATCCAATTATGACTTACTCCGTTCTTTTTCATTTAAAAACCACCAGAGGAATATTAACTAAATTGCAAGGCAATCACTCTAGAATACATTACTTGAAAATTGTGGGCAATAATATAATTTGCCCAGGCTCTTCAAAGGTCCCAGCTGTTTAACAAACATGAAAAACTTGCCTCCCAGCTAGTGTGACAAGATCTCTGCCCAGTTTTCCTTTGTCCTCCGACATGTGAACTTCTTATAGTCCATCAGGCTACGAGGGTAAACACGAGAACTGTTAAACACCAAAGCAGACCAACCAGCCAAGTGAATTCCAAATAATTCAATCCAAATTGTTGCTCACCCTGGACTCCATACCACTTCTGAATCATCTCCCCTAGCAGTAGCTTTCCTAGTTAAGGTACGTCACAGCAAAGCCACTTAGGTCCCAGCCAACAGAAATCAGAAGGTATATTCTCTAGCAGTGGAGGAGCAGTACTGACAAACAAGTTCTGTCCTAAGGAAAATATTTGTAAGATCATACAAGAAGAGTTCTAAAAAAAAATACTTTTGTTCAAGTTAGTATTTCTGCATTGCTGTGAACACAAATAGGTATCAGAATGTCCAATTCCACTTAATTTGCGAGACTAATTCAAATTAAATGTTTGAGGCTCTTAAGAAACTAAGTCTCTTTAAGATCTTTGAGACTTTCCTGATTTTTCTCTCATCAAGGAAAGACCTCTTGTTAAAGACCATTTTATCAGTTTTTGATGGCAGTCTAACATCACCCAGCACTGAGCAATTATTTCATAAACATGAGGAGCAGGCTCAGGTGAAGAGCAGAAAAACATTAGAAACGGAGAAATTTAGCTAAATAGTAGAGGAAATTTCAGTTTGTGCTGAATCAAGGTGTACTTCTAAAGCAGCCACACCAATTCAAAGGTACAAAAGCCTCTGTTTCTCATTTTTTGCACAGGGGAATTTTGGCAAGCTAATCAAAATTCATGTTAAATGGTCTCATTTTATTAATGAAACACTATGTTACAGGAATCCTGCACATAAGTTCATGACAGATGAAGTACCACTATTAATTCAGGAGATTAAGACATTCCTTTTAAAACATGTTGTTCAGTACCTGTCACTTCACTTATGTTGCCTCAGGAAATTAAAAATAGTAGACAAGATACAACAGGGAGTTTTGAGCTTCACAGTCTTAATCTGGGCTGAAAAAATATAGTACTTAAGGAGACCTCACCCTTTCTTCAGAAACTAGAGCAAGTCCAAACATCTTTTTTGGCCAAACAAGATAAAGACAGCTTTCTCCTGGGAAAACTCCTGGCATGACATCAAGTTGAAAGAATTTTACATACTTATCATTAGTCTGGCCAGGTTGACAGCCAGAGATACTAAAGCCAATGAATATATTCTACATCTAACCTATGAAAGGTGTTGAAATATATTCCCCTCATCATCCTTTATTTCAAAGGTGTTTTTTCCAGTCTGTTTTGACTTTGGATATGAAAACATGTTCACAAGAGAGAATTCCAACCTTGCAACACACCACAGAAGTCTACAAGCTACACACCAGAGTAAGAAATAGTCTGTTTAGCAAAATTTCCTAGCATTAAAACAATGGCCTATAGATTGCATCCTTCAGCTACAGACAAAAGCAACTGCAAAACCATGTGCTGTTCTTCTTATAGCTACAGTAGATGCAATTCATGTAATATCAAATGTGTTAAAATCGTGACAGACCAAACAGATCCATCAGCTAAATGCACAGACCCACCACTTTGCCACCAAGTAACAGGATTTCCAGACCCAGCAGGCACAGGTAATAATCACTTAGTAACTACCACAATATCTACCACCAATGTGTGATCTAACAGCTTAATATCTAAAAGATCATTAACTTAGTGCAAACTGCAAGGTATTAGAACATTTGTAGGACATCAGAGAACAGTTTGGAGCTGTTGACAGGTATATAATCTTTCATGAATGTCCATGGATTTCACTGCAACATCTGAACCTCCTTGTGAGAAAGCTCAAAAGCATCCTTGTGGGAAAGGCTCATGAAGAACATTCCTGTCACTAGCTCCCTTCAGTACTTTGAGCCCTTCCTTTTCCAAGCAGAATGGCAAAGGAGAACTTGGAATCTACACCACCACAGCTAAATACACCCAACACCAGTACTCAGTGTTTTATTTTTGCTTTAAATTTCCAAGCACCTCCCGTTTGATACCATGGCAAACTGAGTGGTTAACAAAATTACTTGCTCTTTTTAACTGAACATTTACATCAAAAAGTGTTCAAATACAGAGTTTTAAGGAAGATACTGTATCAATATTGATATTTCTAACAAAGACTGGCAAAAAGAGCTCAACCCAAAGGCATTAGTAAGTGGTTCAGCATTTTGCAGCTTGCCTAATCAAATATTTTAGGCTCAGCAGAACATACACACAAAAAAAAAAAAAAAGAAGGAAAAAAAATTCAAAAGGAATACAAAACTGACTTCTGTTTCAACTAGTGACTGCCTCAGAGGTCTCAAGGAAGCCTTTCATTCCTGATAGTCTTCTGCCTGTAAAAGGGGGATTATGCTTACTTACCACATAGAGAGCCGAGAATTGAGAAGCATAAAGCACTGCAGGGAAAGAAATACAAGTGCTGAGTACTATTACTCCACAGAAAAATAAAGAAAACTGGTTATTTTAAACAAGAAGTTTATTTAAACAACAAGACGCTTTACTTGAAGGGAAAACTATCTAGGATTTTTTTTTTTTTTTTAAGAGTAATTTACCCCTACTTAGACAGAGATTGCTCTACATGTAACAGCTACGTACAAAAAAGTTATAAAATTGTCCTTGGTTTTACAATGATAAAAGAAAAACATTGAAAATTATCCAATCAAAAAAGGTATGCAAGGTTTTTGTTTTTTTTTTTAAACAGTGAGAGCAAAATAACTTACTGGAATATAAAGATAAAAGTAGAAGGAGCATGCCACTAACGGAGAAAGGGGCATTTTCACAGAACCAGTTTGTTTTCCCACCCCATCTCCATTAAATGTTGATCAAAACATACCATTGGCCATTGAGTTAAAAAAAATATGCATTATGTCTGTGCACATACACCAGTTACTTTATGTACAATAGAAGGAATAGGAAAAAAAAAAATCAAGAGAGGAGAGAGAAAACTATACTGCAGTAGTCAGGATGTGCTGAACCAAGTCTCATTTTTCTAATTGTAGATGTGTTGCCTGTGGGAGCACAGTTCTGGAGCGGAAAGTAGCAGGTTCTTTTTTTGTGTTTTTGTTATTTTTTTAGTAAACTCCTCCTGTTTGCTGCTGGAACACATCAATTGTATCTTCATCCTCCATCTCCAACTAGAGCAGAAAAGAGAAGGAAGGCTTTCAACTCTTCTCAGAAAGCTGGGTTATTCTTACACTTCCTATCTTCATGTTTACTTTTTATGACACTTAGCCCAACCAGCCCCACTCCCCTCCACCATCATCACTTTGTACATTTAACCTACACCTCACCGTAACTCTAAAGCAAAAAAATGACACGGAAAAAAAAAATGCCACTTAACAGCTGTTGTTCTAGAATGAATTTAAGTCTGTAACTTCAGGGTGCACTGTATGACTCCTATGGAAGATTGGCACCCATAAGATTTTAGTTCTGCTATATCTTCTTTCTCCTGTTTACTCCCTCAGTTTACCTTAGAACATTGCCACAATTCCACTGAGCTCCTGTTGTTCAAATGTGCAAATGGCTTCAGCTACAGCACTTAAAGAAAGCAGACTAACCAACCAGGCAGTAAAATAGAAAAAAAAAAAACATTAAAAACACTTTATGTGGTCAATGATGTAATGGACTGCCAGTGAGGAACAGTGATATTTCATTAATACAAGTCTCCTCCTACAGTTGATATCCCTGGGATGTTAGTTGTTACCTACTGACATCTGTTACCTACAAAATCTATACTAGGACTGAAGGAGTTGCTGTAACTCCTCTAAGTTATAATTTCTAAACAGTCTCAATTTTTGCTCTGGAAAAACAAACTGGTCTATGGCATATACCACAGCTATAAATAGACTGATTCTTAGCTTCAGCATAACGTGGATGGAAAGAAAAGCACCCTGTTGCCTCAATTATCAGTATTCCAAGTTTAAAAGTTGCATAAATTACGACCGTAAGAGAGATTTTTTCAGAGCAACTGCTCTGAAAACACAGATCTACCACAAACCTTCTAAAAACAAGAGTCCCTTATTTTGTTACAAAGCACATAAAACTGTATCACTTGGAAAGGCTGATTAAACAGAGCTATGTGGAGCAGTACAGAACAATACTCGTCTCAGTGAACCGTTCTGTTCTTGGAATGGCCTCCACTAAAATCCAAACTTCACAGGATTCATTAATTTTATGCTGCTGGAACAGAGCTTCAAATTACAAATAACGGAAAATTACTTTTGTACTACAAATGCAAGTTTGCAAATAGGATCTCTGATAACATCCCTGCAAACTTTTATAAAAAAAATAAAGCTACTGCTTCAAGAAGAACTCAATTCTTAACTTACTGATTCTTATCTTAGAGCTGGGACTCAAAGTGACAGTTTTAGAAGACTCACCACCTGTACCCTGCACTTCACTTTTCTTATTTTATTACTACAGTGATACTCATTCAAAACACTCCAGAAGTTTTAGATTTCACTTCCAATAATTCTATATCAAAATAATGGGGGGAAAAAAAGAAAAATCAACAAAAAAAACCCAAGCTCTATCACTTAAATATCCAATTCCACAAGCATTTTATATGCAATAGAAGCATCTGGTGCAGCAGCCAGTTTCCAGCAGAGCCCTGAAGCCTCCCTGCTGCTGTTTACCTGTGCGGGTGTGTCTGTTTCATTAATTGGCTGCCCATCGAACCGGAATCTGATTTGCCTCATCGACAACCCCTGGAAAAAGAGAAGTAACACAAAGGGAAGTAAGTCTGCTGTGAAAGTACCCACTAGTTTGCTCTGGAACTTGCCACTAGGATTGCAGCACGATCATTAAAAGCCACCATTCACACTGCATGATATAGATTCTGCACTCCCCTCATGCACGGACTTTAAGGCACTTTGCTACCAATCCTTGCAATCTGTTTTGTATTAAAAATTGCACTGTGTCCAATAACTAAGGGAAGCAACAGTGCCCCCACTGACCGCAAGGGAAAATAAAGCAAAGTCTCACCCCAAAGTCCAGGGGGTTTATAGCGTTTTTTAACAACTCACTGAAAAATTAGATGTGACACTCTGGGTAACAGATGTCAAACAGTAACATTCTATACTCCTTTTTGATCCTCCTCAAAAGCAAAGGTATTCTCAAGTATTTTTTCCAGAAATGCAACCACCAGTTATTAGCCTGCAGCAGCAGTGTAGGCAATGGTAACTTTTTGACCTTGAATTCCTATTAACAAGAAATCAAAGTTTTTTCCATGCACAGCTAGAACTTTTTTTTTTTTTTTAAAAGGATCATCTACTTCCATAAGTTCCTGAATAGTATTTTGAACTAGCATTTCTACCACACAATAATCATCTTGCTGACCTCTTCCATCACTAGAAGACTACCCCAAAAGACTAATTCTCATTTTCACTTGAGCAACCAGATTCAAAAAAGTAACTGAAGAGCAACAATCCCTTCTACTATTAGCATAAATCTTGAATACATGTTAGTTTTCAAAGGTATTCTACAGCACACTACTTTATACACAGCAAGATTAATGAAGTTTGAGGATACAACCAGAACCAGGAACCTTGATATCTCCTCCTTTCCTAGTTCTAACTACTCCCTCTATCGAGTATCTAAACCCACAAGAAGTCTACTTGGTTTTGAAGTAAATCAAATGTATTGCACAACACTGCCTCAGTGTCTCTGAATTAGAAGTTCTCATTTAGCCATGCAAGAGCAGATGTAACAAGAAAACCCTTGATGTAGCAGTTATTTTTGAGAAACCGATTTTTCAGGAAAAGTATTTTAATAAAGAAAATGAGTGAACTTTTTGTTCTTCACAGTTCACAGCAAAATGCTTTCTCTAGTGTGACTAAGATGTCACCCAGTGTTCACTCAGAACATCATCTCTTTTAAGAAGACCATGTGGCTAAGTGTCATGGCAGCAACACTTCTTTGCACAGCAACATTTGGTTTGAGCTGTTTTCTCTGACATTTTCTTTCTTAAAATATATATTTGCTATTCCAAGTGTTCTTTTTTTTTTCCAGGTTCCTGACAACTTTCTGAGCTGAATAAATGCTAGCAGAAAACATAGTGAAAAAGCTGTACCTTGGTGAGATTAGTATTCACAAAAAAAATTAAGTATATTCCACGGCCTTTTTTTTTCACCCCACTTAAAATAATCACAAATAGTCACCTTCTACATGTATCATTAAAGATTTAGTTGCTTCCATTTTAGGTCTACTATGTGCAGTACATTATTTTCACTCTTTAAAGCTGCTATATTCTCTACTACATGCAGCTTCCACCCATCCAAAATGAAATGTGAAATCCACAGCTGAAGAATTTTAAGATTGGGTATGCCTGGTTAGAAGTACGAACAAGATCTAACTTTTAGAGACATGCAGAACAAATGCTTTTCAACAAAATTTGAGAAGTAAGCACCTAAGAAAAAAAACATTAAGACAAGTCCATCTCCACGGAAATGCCCTCTGGATAGCTACTGGCTTAAAACCAAAAATGAGAAAAAAAATATGTCCCATTCTAAAGATTTCTTTTTTCTCTCCAGTTGACACCTTGGTTTTGGCTGGCTGTTTGGTTGGTTTTCCCCAAGCAGATTAGAAATTAAGTTGAAAAATTTTGGGATCTTACTTTTGTTTATATCCAACTAACTGAAGTATGAACAGTATTTCCAAAATAATCTTTCCCAGGATTTTACAGACAATTATCCAATCCTCAAACTCCCCAAAAGATAGATATAAGGGCACTTTATGTTCAGAAAAAGCAACACAGAACAATTTACATAATGTAACATGGATTTGTATGGCAGAGGTAGGAAAAACAAGCCCACAGCCTCAAACATTCACTGGTTTATTCCCAGAACACACATACAGGAACACATTCACATGTCCAGTAAGAGTAGATTCCCCCTGCCTTCATTCATAGCACTGTCCTATTGCCTCAAAGGGTAAACCAAAGAGGTACCAGTCCGTATGTTAATTAGTTTGGGGTTTTTTCGTGGTAAAATAGTTACCTCAATATTTTATACTGATTTTACTGTATTCAACAGTGCCACTGAATACCTGTGTTTAAAAAAAACCAAAACCAAACAACAATTCCAAACTGGAACGGAACTTTTTAAAGGGAGACATTAATTAAAAAATCATGGACAGCAAAGACAGAACGTTCCTAACCAGAAGCCTCAGAAGAAAGTGTTAAATAGCATTACTCCTATACAGGCATTTTTAAAGCTTGTAATAGCTGCCTGTAACTTCATAGGTTGGCTGCAGTTGCCACTACATTAGGAAAATACTTTTTGTCCCTCAGAGGATTAATTTGACAACTGGGCCAAAAGAGAAAACACAAAGCTCATCATTTAAAGAACAAGCTCCTTCTCAAGCTAGACACCTTTAAACCCTGTAGTACTCATTGATAATGTCTCATTTTAATATAATAATACTAAGCTAATAAACCAGAAGTCTGTGACCAAAACAAGAAGTTACTCAGAGTTATAAAAATACCTCTGATTATCACTCATCTCTCTACCCCAAGTTCATACCACAGGTTCCTAACCTCTCCATATTGGCATTTTTGAGCAGCAGAGTAACAGTTGCCTCCCAACTGCCTACACCTCTATTGCTGATTTCACAAAGGTAACAGCAGATCTTTATGCATTTCCTGTCACAACCCTGTCAGTCCATGCTATAACACATCCTAAGAACAACATGCTTCCCACAGCACAATCAGTTTCTGTTAAAGCTTTATAATTTTGCATATTTACATAGTTTTAAGACTTTACTGCTTCATCTATCTCTACAGAGATGACCTTTCCCCCACACGGGGGTTCTCCTGGTGATCAAACAAGAGCCATACCTGTCGTTCACAATAGGCTTTCATTAGTTTACTAAGTGGTGTGTGCCTCTTAATCTTAAACTGCACCACAGACCCATCTTGCCCTGCCACCTTCAGATTAATGTGGTCATTGTTTTCAGTCTTCACTCCTTCCTGTTGAGGAAATAAAAGAAAAAAACAAAAAAAAAACAAACAACAAAACAACACTTTTTAAAAAGGTATGAAACAAGAAGTTAACATTTTACCAAAGTGCAACAGGTCATTAAAAAGGAGGAAATAAAGATGATATAGCTGTTTATCAACTTGAAACTTTGATTTAGGAAATAAAGGTCAGTATCTTTTATCTGAAAATGAAAAAAAAAGTCATACAAAAAAACCTCAAACCGTACTAATATTAGTTGTCACTCTTGAGATTGGCTAACATTCAAAGTAGCAGTGAAGGCTTACTAGGTCAGTTGTTTTACAACTAAAAAGAAAAAAAATAGTTGTTTCTATCAAGGGCAAAATAATATGCAAAAATACAGTTGCCAGTCAAACGAATAAAGTTATTTATGTTACAACTGTGATCTCAACCACTAGCAAGTCTCTCTCTTGCCCTATTTCAAACTTTTTCATTTCAGTCGAGGTACTTCTGAAGAAAACTTTAGGATGTTTTAAAAGGCTGTAACTGGAAAAGTGACAAAATCTGGAGAGTACCAAGCTTTCTCCTTCAGAAAACGTTTAAGAAAAAACTCTCCTGAATAAGCAGTCCAACCCTCTCACTTCCATCAGAAGCCACATGCAGAAACTGCAGAGAACCAACTTCTAACTCGGCTGCTCACGTTCTGATCCGGAGTACCCCATCAGAGGCGAAGAGAAGACTCAACGCTACCCAGCTCCTGAGGTTCTCGGCAGCATTTTCATCTTTGTTTTCTTTAGAAGTGGCCGGAAAAGCGGCGAAGGTGGCGGGGCCGGGGCGCGGGTCCCCGCCATGTGACAGATGCCCCGCAGGCCGCG